TATATATATACACACACACATACTCCTCTTCCGGAGCCTAGCAGAAACGAAGACGACAGTAACATGTTGGGTCGGGCTCGAGACTGTACCCTTGACCTGTGGTTCCGGACTATCATGGCCAGGACTTCGAAAAGATCGCTGAAATCTTTGGGGAGCCAGGGCTCCAGTTAAAACTAACGAATGCCGCAGATGAAGAAGAACTGCCTGGAAGACTCTATCGGAGAATCGCCTTTGCCACGAGAAGATCACATGCAAGCTCGCATGCTGGATACTCACAGCATGGCACGCCGGGACTGAACAACTGCACGTCCATTACACTGCAGCTAGTATGTCGGAGTCGCCGTCAGCGCGGCAGCGAAAGCAAGCCAGCCGAAGGCAGCCTCCAAGCTGTGCCTGAGATGCAAATGTTCGAAGGGACATGCTCGCCCATGCACCCAGTGGAAATCTTTGTTGCAGGAAGTCTAGGAGAATCCCAAAGTGAGCCTAAAGGCCAAAAAAACATGTCAGAGCCTGGTGATGAAGGCTCGAGATGTAGCCAGCTTCTTGACTCCGTCTGCCACAAGCGTTGAAAGGATCATGGTTCCCGGTCGTGCCGTGACTGGCACGGCACAGCAAGCGACGAGCCCTGCTTTTAGTCTGATGTGTTCATTGTGGTCTGCGCCGATATGCGCCGATGTATCAAAACACTCTTTGTGTTCTGTCTCGCAATTCGCTCTGGCAGGGTATCGGCGCACATGGGCGCATGAGTCCATGCTGACGGGAGTTGAACATGTGGATGAGTTGCCGGAGAATCTGGCCGCTGGCCTGGCCTAGACGAACATGTTGCTTGAATATTTATGATGACCCATGAGATCGCGAGGAGCCCGGTTTCACGAAGGACACTAAGGCTTCCCTTTCGAGCTGTGCTGAATGTTGCGTTCACTGTTGCTTTCGGCCATCGCTGCCCTGTGGTCTCTGAGCAGAGATTGCAGATCCGCTCAACAGAAGCCGGGATGTACACTGCACTCAGAACGGATCGACTCCTCATATAACACATAACATATGATAAGGTATTATGCTGTGTTATATCAAGAAAATAATATACTAAGTTAGACTCTATTGTGCTATACTACACAATAATATACTATATTGACTATATAGATTGTACTACACTATACAAGTACGGGTCGGTGAGGAAGAAATTGGTCAACTGCAACATGCTCCTCTCTATAGGGCTCGAAAAGAGGATGGTTCACAGAATCGAGTGCGCGACTCATGGGTTCTCAGTTCTCAGCCACTGGACCCTTGGCCCCGATGTCAGGAGATTACGGGAAGTGCCTTTAAAGTCTTTACAACAGGTTTTGTCCAGGAGACCCGCACTTTCGCCTAACTGCGATATGAAAGGCTACAGTAACCTGCCAGCTGTCTCAGGCAGCAGTCAAGTAACAACGCTTCCTCAAACATAGCGTTGCGATCTTACCGACTTCTCCAGTCTGACAGAACACTTCCTTTTGCCATAACTTTCAAACTCTGGCCGATAAACAACTGCTTGCTTCGACACCGCACGGAGCCCAGCCTTCTGTTGTAAAGTGGTCCGGTTCATGTTGCCCCCACCATGCTTCCAGAGAACATCCACTGCTCGTTGCAGCCACCCTGGGGCCTCTTCTTCTTCAGGCTGATCGGCTTCTTCGCTTTCCTCCTCCAGCTGATCCTCGTCCTCTTCCTGTTCCGCCTGCACTTCATCTCGTCTTCCATCCTCTTCGTCCTCTTGGTCCTCGTACTCCTGTTCGACTCTTCTGCCTGGCGCTGCCAATATTTTTGCAGGTGAAGGTGCTCGAAGCATGTCTTGGGGCTTTGGTTGCGGCCTTCCACTGTTCCCTCCACCACACGGTGTCCTTGCCTCTTACGGAGTCAATCTGCTGTTGCCCCATGAAAGTAGCCCAGCACCAGGTGAAGTAGAACTGGTCATAGGGCTCACTCACCCTGTCATGCCAGCCCTTGCTCCAGCGCCGGCACTGCATGCAAACAGATTGTTTGACCATCCGAACACAACAGGATCTCTTACCGGGAATGTAGCTACCTTCTTGCAGGAGATAACAAGGCTGCCGGGCCAGACGTCGAGACGTGATGGGGGCCTAGCGGCCGTTTGCCTCTAGTAACTAGCATATACTCCTGAAAAACACAACCCTCAGCGCTTGCCAGCAACAAGCGGCAACTGCGACATCGTCGCGACGGCGGCCCCAGAACTCCAGATTGGACCAAAGATTGCGAATACCAGCGTCGACTGCAGCCTCGGACTCTCGGACACTCTCAAGCCAAGAATTGCACTCGTTTACGACCACGTGTATACCCCTTGGTGTTCATGACACCGTTGACGCTCCGAACAGCAGCATGTTTCCGGAAGATCTTCGGGGTTCGTCTGTTGGGGGACACGGACATGGGCAGTGCCCATGCAACTCTTTCGAGCTCTTTCAACAGGCTTCGAGCTGGAACGAAGACCTTACGCTCGGAGGCCTTTAGAAGCTGAAGGCTTGCCGAGATTACAAGACACATCCGCACCCAGCCGCCACACAACTTCATGCAGTCTATGGACCCCGGCTTAGCATCGAGAGAACGATCTGTAATTATTCACGCATCTCCGGCTGGTTTCACTCCTGCCAGTCTCTTGAAGCTTTCCTTATGACACCCGCTGTGAAGTCGACAAGTCGCCAGTCGAATTGTTTCGAAAAGATGGGCTTCGCCGCGATGTCGCAAAAGTAGAGGAGCACTCCTTCGGAGACTTCAAAGATTCTCGAAGGATCTTTTGCAAGGGGGGTGTTAGGGGGGGATGGGCTGGCTTCTCTCTGCTGCAGGCAGGGCTCTTGCAGAGAAAATCGTCCACAGCACAGAGAATCCCAGCACTCCAGCCTTGGTCACTCTGTGCTATGGTCCACCTCGTGAAAAGCTAAACTGGCTTCAACGCAAACCTCTCAAAGCCAACGACGAGGCTGCACCACTCATGTCCGCGCCTAAGCTGGCCTAACAGTTCAATATCAATAGCACTGGCTCCTAGAAAGTCCCACATCAAAAGCTGGGGCGTGGAGAACATCACGCCGTTGTGCCAAACTGACTGTGACTGGGGATCTGGACTGTGATTCGTAAAAACAGTGGGCGAGTATGGACGAGTAGATGGTTTGACGGAGCCCCCAAGGATGCGTCAACTGCAGTTCTACTTCTTGCCAGAGACAGTCCACGGCCAAGACAATCATTATGATCATTATGCTTCTGCCAAGGACAAGGAGGAAAAGCAATGCAAAGCCCTTTGCGAACCTAATCGCCACTGCACCAGAAGATCTGGCACAACCACAAAGATCCGTACAGACCTTCTCAAACATGTGCGCAGGCATAGATGTGATCAAGGGATCGTGGATGCTGGCCTAAAACCTGGTGCACACTGCGAGTCGACAAGCTTACTGCATCAGGAAGCTGCCAGCTGCCTTGGGACGACACTTCCCTGCCAAAACGTGAAAACATACACGGAGCAACCCTGATTTCCGCGAACAATGAACCCTCACAGGCGAAGAGTAGATCTAAGGCATGTGTTCAAACCCTTCCCTTTCGACCACCAAACCCAGTGAGGTTTGTGGTGCAGCAGCTGAAACATGCCAAATCCACAAGGTGAGACGAGGAAAGTACTCTTGCCCAGCTGCCACGACATTCGCAAGTATGGAACGAAGCGGGGCGTTTGCACCGTAGATCGCCCTGGGAAGCGATACTGTCGGACTTTTGTTCTAAAACAGCCATAGTCGGACCTTGACATTCGGAGTCTTCTGTTTGTCCTTGTTTGCCTTCGACTGCGAGGCTTCACGGTCTGCAAACAAATTAGAAGGCGTAGCACCGCAGGAGCTGGGGAGTCTGCACGACTTATGCAAAGTGATACAACTCCCTGATGCTGTCGCAGGGACGAAATCTGCAAAACTGCGCCTCTGTTACAGCAGTCGAAGTGAAGTGGGTGTTCAGGCGATGCAAAGTCCCGGACTCAAGCCAAGACGTTTTCAAACTGGATTCGGAGCAAGCAAAGCGCAAGGCCTAAACAACAATTACGAAGAACATGTGACTTGACCTCGCACTCGAGCTCAAACAGCAAGAGCTTTCCAGTCAGGATGACGAAGCCTTAGAGGCCTGAGCAAACTCCGGCCAGGATGCAATGTGAACTCCAAGCCTGGTGTCATGGCGACAAGCACAAGCAAGGCCTCGGCGAGATGATCATGGTACTGTGCCCCTGCATTCCACGAAGCTGACAATCCAATATAAATTCGCAGACCAGCGGCGAGGTAAGGGCCAGAGAGGTGTATCCTGCTGCCCTTCCTCGGTACAAGGGCCATGTTGTTTCCATGGATACCGTAGAATCCACTCGAATTGCACGCGAGTCCTCTTAAGACATAAGATCGAAGACAGCACCGATACCGCAGCCCCCGGCACATCTGTTCCAAACCTACACTCACTGGAGCCGTGATCAACACTTTTTCGCAGCTACAAAGGCGCAACAGATTGAGCCGCACACTTCAAGGTCACGGCAGCATTGGCACAGGCAACAACAAAAACTGCCCCAAACAGGTTCATGTTGATCTTTTCCTTAAGCCATGCATCCCCACCAACTCCTCGCGCAGGGGGCCCTGCACAAATTCCCGGAAAGAGTCCTTGCCTTTGCCGATTTCAACAGAGCGGGCTAAACATGAGCGGTTGCGGACGCAAGGGAGTAAATGTCTTGGTTACAGCTCGGCTACAGTGCAAGTGCTTTGCTGCTGCATGTATGTATGTCTGTCTGTCTGTCTGTCTGTCTGTCTGTATGTATGTATGTATGTAAGTATGAAACGATGTAGGTGTAGGTATTTATGTATGTATGCATCTATATGCAAGCAGTATGTGTGCTGCATGTGTGGGCTTGTGTGCATTTGTGTATGTATATATATATATATAGATATATATCTATATATAGATACACATAAATATCTCTGTATATGTATACATTTGTTTATATTTAAAATCTGCTGGAATATATGATATGTATGCCTCCCTCTTTATATATGTATGTACATTAATATATCCATGCATGTATGTATATATATATATGTATATATATATATCCACTGTATATACATATAAATGTATGTACGCATGTACGCATGTATATGTATATGTATATGTATATGTGTATGTATACGTATACGTATACGTATACGTATATGTATATGTACATGTAAATGCAAATGTATATGTGTATGTGTATGTATATGTACATGTGTATGTATGTATGTATGTATGTATGTATGTATGTATGTATGTATGTATGTATGATGTATGTATGTCTGTGTATGCATGTGTATGCATGTGTATGTATGTATGTATGTATGTATGTATGTATGTGTACGTAAATACGCACGTACGTACGTACGTAGGTAGGCAGGCGGGCAAGTAGGTAGGTAGGTGGTAGGTAGGATAGGTAGGCAGGTAGGTATATACACACACCGTTCTACTCATCTATATATTGTAACTTATCTCTTTGTTCCTTTATACAACTATGAAAGGCTCGATTCATTGTTGCTGTTGCTGCTGGTGTTGCTGTTGTTGGCGATGCTTTTCCTGTTGCTGCTGCTGTTGGTGCTGCTGCTGCTGCTGCTGCTGCTGCTGTTGCTGCTGCTGCTGCTGCTGCTGCTGCTTCTGCTGCTGCTTCTGCTGCTGTTGCTGCTGCTGGTGCTGGTGCTGCTGCTGCTCCTGCTGCTGCTGCTGGTTCTGGTGGTGGTGGTGATGGTGGTGGTGGCTGCGGCGGCGGTGGTTGTTTTTGTCGTTGTTGTTGTGGTGGCCATCGTTGTTGGCGCTGGTGCTGGTGTAGCTGTTTATCGATTCTCTTATACTACGTTTTATCGGGCCCATTTGATGAAAGCATGCCACCAGTTGGATGCTGTAGACTGCCTTCGCTGATCTTGTACTTTCATTTGTCGCAAACATTGAGTGGGGCTTCCGATGCAATACTTGTGCGAAAGTCTCGGGCTCGCAAGCCCACACCCGGCCACTGTCGGGAGCGTGCTTTCGACATGTACGGGTTGACCCCTGAATTCAAGAATGCATGGTGTCCACGATGCAGTGAAACTGTGGACCTGCAAAGGATTACAACTCGATCAGAACAGGGTGCTGCCGTACCACTTGAGGATAGCCGTGTGGATGAACCTGAGCTCTGCAGAGTCCATGATAACACAAACGAAATCCTCTGTCTCGATGAACTTGTGCTAGTAATGCGAAGCCTAATCACTGTGAGAGCTTATGGTGGGTCTATTTAATGCTCGCATTAGAAGTGCAGTTAGCATCACGCTGGAGTCATCGCCGAACTTTGCATCATGGTAGTGAACGCGACGGCTCCCCTTTTCTCGCTTTTGACCGACCCCGTGATCTGCGCTCTGTGACAGGCTCTGCGGACCTACGCCTCTCAAGCTCCAGAGTTGGCGCTGGGGGCGGTGCTCGCGATCAAAATCGTTTTGACATCGAACGGCATCCAGATCCTTAGCTTTGCAAGCCTGGGCCTAGTTGGTATTGTTTGCGCAGTGCTCCGTCTCCGCACCACCAGCCACAAAGCAACATGCGAGCGTGCAAGAGTCCTACAGAAGGAAAGAGAAGCACAGCACAGGAGGAGTGGGACTAGAGAATGACCGGAGCGAGCGAGCCAACCTTTGGGACAGCAAAGGTGGAAACAAACTTATTGCGGCAGTGTGGCCCAGACAATGGCAAAACATCGCAAACACTGTGGGAGAAATCACGTACGAGCAATCCGTTCAAGAGGGGCGCAAGAATCTGAGAGTGAGTGAGTGGATGAATGTGTTGTAAGGAGAGTGAGAGTGAGGGTCAGATGGAGTATCAGCGTGAGAGTGAGAGCGAGAGTTCAAATGAGAGGCAGAGTGAGAGTCAAGCACGAACGCCGCGTTTCCAAATGTTTCAATGTCAGGACAATACAGGTTCGCAACATTGGAATCTTTATGATAAGTGTCCTAATTTACGGTCAACAATGGACTCCCGCTAGTCTGAAACTCCCAAAGCTCTGTGACTCCAAAACCCAGTCTTATTTCTCTTCGTTTTCGCTGCCGCCCTCTGCCCAGTTTGCTCTGGGAGTCGAAGCTGTGGAGGTCGGACACCAGTTGCTGCCTGTGCCGCGGCACGGACTCCACAAGCAATGCATTCAATCCGAAGTCCCAACTGTAAGCTGCTCTATATGCTCTGTACGGCACAGGGATAAGTATTGACTGCTGAATTCGTATGCTCGAACCCCTTGCTTCGATGAGATAAAAGGCCCATGTCTACACGCAACTGTCGAGAGCTTCTACAGCAGGCATCGCGGCTCTCACCACCCTCTCAGCAAGTCAACCCTCTGTTCCCGCGCAATAATCCTGAAGGAGCTCAGGGTTGATCTGTTGAAAAGCAGGTTTCACAGCTGAGGCTTTGCGTCAACTCGCGCCCGGGCGAACGAGGCCGAGGGCTCTAGCAGAAGAATCTCCGTCGAAATATAGAACCGATTTGATCGCCGTAAAGTTAGCAACGATCTTGCCACACTGTTTAGCACGGGCTCCGGGAGCCAGGGTTGCAGCGGATGCACCGCTGTTTTTCACGCCTTGCGCCTGTACTTCGGCACAAGTTTGTCGGATTCCAAAGTAAGTAGGTGGACATAGTTCCGGCTTAGGATTCAGACAGGGTCATAGCATTTAATGGCCGATCATCAAGAAGAAACGATGGCGCGACGCCGCACGTCCCAGAACGGCTGCTGGAAGCGGCACGTTTCCCACTACGTACCGCACAGACAAGTACGGATGATTCGAAAGAAAGCCAGCTGCCAGCATACTTAAGCAGCTGCTCCAACCTAGTACCCCATGGCAGTGATTTTGGGGTCGAGGCGATAAAGACTTCCTCCTTCTTGCATTAACCTTCGTCTCCCTACTGCAACTAAATTCCTAAGACATCTGGTGACAAATCACTTGTCAATGCTCGGCAGCCTTTCGGTCTGAAGCTCCTAGCTCTTCACAGTAAAGCTTGGAGAGTCCATGTTCAAGGAGGCGTTTTGCTTGCTTTCGCTACAGGACAGGGTTCGCGAGGAATCTGGCTCTCAAGACCCTAACTCGATCCAAAGTGGTTCATCGCCTGTCTTGGAAGACTTTGCGCAGCATGTGAACGACCACCAATGCCTTCGGGTCGACACATCTTGCTCGATTGAGGCTCTTCTGCACACTATCTATATTATATCACCCTCAAACTCGAAGCCCTATATCGTGCATCACGGTGGGCAGCTGCAAAGACGCCTCAGGGCAATTATTGCAAACGGAGGCTCAAGACTGACCTGTGACGGTGAGCCCTCATGATTTGACGTCCCAGGCGCTGGCAGCGCTGCAACTCCATAGACCACCACACGAAAACGTTCCTGCGGGTTCTTGAGGGCCAGAAAAGCTGTCCATCACAGCTGGGGACACATGCAAAAGATGCGCAATTGAATCCTGCCATATCCTGTCATCCATGCATCGGCTCTCTGGGGTCTTAAGGGCTTGAACAAGGCCTCAAGGCCTCGAAGGCTGGGTCCCGAAGTGGTCAAAGGATGGACAGCCTATCCTGGATCAGGACCCGGGCAGTCACAAAGGTCGCGGCCATGCCGTAGGCACAGATCAAGATCACGGCAACCTCGGTTCGGCCACATGCCACATGTAACGAATAAGCCTCACATTACGATTGCCCACCTCCTAGCATCACCTCGCAGACGTTGCAAGCTGCAGCAGCGGGAGCATAGGATTTATGATTAATGCCGAGAGGGCCGCCAGAGCTACAGTTGTTCAACAGCTACGTCGGCCGATGCTCGGGAGACTGAAGGCCAGCACAGTTGGGTTCCTTCACAGCATGTGGATTTGATGAGTGAAACAACGCATGACGGACAAGAGTAACGAAAAACACGAGCAGTCGACGTTGCATCACCTCGTGGCAATCGTCGTGCAATACTGGGGTTCATTGACGCGACGCATGATGCCGAAGATGAAACTTTGGCTAGCTAAGGCCCGTTGGAGTTCAAAGTGTTAGCATTGAAGTCATGGTGAAAACCCCAGATATCCCCAGCACATCAACTCCGAGTAATTAGATTTGCACGAAATCGTGCAAGTTGTGTAAGTGCGAGCTTGCACGCATGCACGCACGAACGTGCCACACCGCGGAACAAGAAGAGCTCTGACATACTGCAGGGTTCGGGCATGGGCAGCGGAAGAGTCCCGGTAACGAAAACAATCTCCCTGCCCGTGCGAACGCGCCTGCATGGCCTGCCCTTGATACCTGCGAGAGCATGAAGCATCACACCCCGTGCATCAAGACTCCTGTAGTGCTCAGCGGAGCAGCACCATACCCCACATCCGCATCATTCCTGGCGTCTGGCGCACACCACCTGTGTGCTGACCTGCCGTTTCCTGACTTCACCGGTTGGTTTTGTTTAGGTATCAGGCAGTCTTGACATGAAGTTGAACGCAATAAAGTTGATCTTGTTGGGGCAATTTGGTGAAGAGTGACCGCTAATGGTTGTATCATGCATGCGCAGATGTGTGCGTGTGTGTATGTGAGTGTGCATGTGTGTATGTGTGTTTCAGTCTGGGTGGGCAGGCGGGCGTCTGGCAATTTCCGTTGCATGGTCTGGGTCATGTTTTCCCGCCGAAGCACGATCTGCTCAACATACAGCGGCGCAATGGTGATCTTGCCCTGTGCAAGCGCAGGCGGATGAGACCACAGCTCTCAGAAATAGAATTCGCTAACCTGCACAGCGCTGCACCGTCGCAAGTCCCTGCAGGTTTCCGATTGCATTAGGTCTGTGATGACGACATGCGAGCTCGCGAAATGATCTGCGATTGTTGAGGACGAAACCTCCTTCGCCTGTCTGTCGCTGTCGGATTCAGACGTTCTTGGCTCTTGGCACGACATCTCGACATCCAACTTCGAAGCTTGAATGAAGGATGAAACAGAATTTCCAGTCTTTGGCCCTGTTTGGAGTTTGACGAGTTGAAACTTGCCTCCGGGTTGGCAGTGCGGTAGGCGGCGAGCTCAAAAATGCACCTGGGTTAACGAAATTTCAGCACAAATGCATGTCAGCGCTAACCTCGCTTGGAACTCTATACGTTCATCTTCTTCCCCCTGTTTTCCACCCTGTGAAGTGCATCGGCGGCACCAGAGCCGCGAGAGGTACGGCTTGCTCCAAAGGACCTGAGAGATTGCGATCATTTGCGATCCCACGCTGCTCCATTCCGATGTCTTTACCACAGCTATCCATCACTCGCAGGATGCAGGTCCATGAACTCCATGCTCCCCACCTGCATCTCGCGGGACACAGCCAAGAAGCCTCCGATTCCTGGGATGACGACCCATGGAGACGCCCGAAACATCTCGAGGCTGCCCGGGGTTCCATTTTGATTGGGCTGGGCTTAAGTTCAAAATACAATACCACACAGGTTTACAAGAGCTGCCTGCCCGCAAATCTCATAAGGGCGTAGACTGCGTAGACCCTGCTTCCCAGGGCGGGTTGGTTATAAGTGATTGGAGGGCTTAGCATGGATAAGTATTTGTTGCAACCGTGGATCTTATCATGTCTAAGTTGTTGTTAGTATACTTATAAGCATGCTATGTTGCAGCACTGCAGCTGGCTTGTTTAATAAATGGAAGGTATCATTTAATAATCAGATGTTGTTGGTTGTAAGTGACTGGGCATGATAGACAAGATAGGGGTATTTCGATTGGCCAAATTAACATAGTTACTGCTAACTGAGGTCGTGGGAATTCACGCAATTAGGTAAGCAGGCTAAGTCTGCTTACCTGCTGATTGAGAAGCTTTGGATACGGGTTTTTGGCGAGAACGCATCATGACTGGACGTCATGGTATTATGTTCTTGAATATATAGATGCTCGCAGGCAGTATAAGCCTGCAGGGCAAGTTGCGTGTATATGTTTTTGCAGCAGATGGTGATCGATGGAGCTTGTCTGTTCGATCGAGTTTTGAGAAAAACCTGTAGCACTGTGCACGCCATGCCTCTGGCACCTGATGTCTATTGCGAGATCGCTGCCTTGCTGCGCAAGGCCGCGATGAAACTTTCTAGTGAAGTCGGCCTCCGACTTGTTCGTGGTGCTCCGAAAGAGTGGCTTGCTGACGGACGTGCGGTTGCTGCTCATGGCTGCAGGTGTGCACCCGCAGAACCAGGATGGGCTGATGCTGAATGCCACAGACGTCCACCAGCTGCTGGACTCGATCTCGCCGGTGGGGTTCGTGCCTGGGCGGATAGACGCTGTGGAGATCGGCAACGAAGAACATCGGGTGTTCAAGCAAAGGCTGGTCGATGCCGCCGGTGGAGCCCCGGGCAGCAAGGACAGCAATGTGCTGAAAGTGCGCAGCCTCTCAGCCAGCCACACAAATTGGACCTTAAGGCTGGTGGCTTGCTCGGCTCGCCACGCGTCAGCGGGGCTGTGTGTGAGGATGCCTCAGCCTTGAGCAAGCGAGAGCTCGCGATGCAGTTTTGCAGAGCATGTGGAGCTTTGATTGACTTGGAGGGTTATCTCCAGGACCAACGAATTGTACGAGGCATCGAGGACTGTTCACACCCCCATGAGTGAGACCTTCGGTAATACTCACATAGGAAGAGAGTCGCGACAGAAAGAAACGCGTGTCTTACCCGCTTCAACTTCGCAAAATATAGAGTCGAGCCGTTGCATCCCCAATTAGAAGCATTGTGACACTTCGCTACGCCATTGACGATCCCCTGAAATAGAACCGCAATCGCTAGTCAGGATCAGATAGTCACCGAAGAAATCGGCAATGCGATAAAGATTTCATTCTTGATGCCGGTGTCACAAGCCTGGCTGAACCAACAGGTGTACACGTGAGTAGGGAGGGCTTCAGCGGCACTCACGTTCCCACCGTTGATAGTGACTTCGTTCGCGTTCACGTTCCTCAGGATTCTTGTTCTTGCCTTTCCCAATTTGTTGTCACTCTATTGATTGGCTTTGCCCCACGGTGGCCTCGTGTAAGTTGCGGCTTCAGCCATAAACAAAACTGATCCCTGATTCCGCGAGCACCTGGGTCCATGTATTCGGAGACTTGGACATGATCCCGGATAGCATGTGAGTGCTTGGGCCTGTTCGTGTCCGTCATCGCCTTCTGCAACTTTGTGATAAACTCAGCAAGCAACTTTATGTCGGGGTTGATGAGAATTTCGCTGGTGTGCTCGGTCGTCTTCTTGACGTTGTCGATTTGTACAACTCCCACCGGGTCGATGTACAGATAATCGATAGGTCCTTGCGGCGGTACCTTTAGCACTGAAAATCTTTCCTCGCCGGTCGTCTTGGCAGTGACATTCTGCAAGACGTAATGTAGACTTGCATACATCTCCCGGGTACCTTGTCCTTTGTTCTTCATATAGGTGTTCGGGTTGAACTCCTCACGAACGTACCCCATCTGATGCGCACCTCGAATGAGCTTCGAAAGAAGTTGGGTTGTGCGAAATCTTCGTAGCATGTATCATGCATGGACATCATCAGATTTGTTCAAGGTAACACCATGGGCAAGGATCTCCTCATCGCTGACTTCGTGTGGAACATCATCAATCTCAGAGAGCTGACCCCGTTGGCCCAGGACGTCATGCCGGCTCCCACGCCTACATCCTTCCTTCATCGTGGCATAAGTCAAACCATCTCATGATGGTGGGCCAAATGCGGTACATGCAATGCACGATGATGTAACTCATGTAGAGGAAGGCTTGCGATCCGGCGCCGATACACCCCGATCCCTTAACATGTGGGTGATATGGAACCTACAAGGAAATTCGTGCTCGCGCCAAGTCCGGGTCAATCACGTGGACGTTGGTTCGCAGGATCACAGGTCTCCTTTCCGTGACCTCAGTCTGGTTCTCCGTCTTTTCATCTTCATCATCATCATCATCACCATCATCTTGCATCTCTTGATCAAGTTCTTCAGCGTCGGCTGTGTCGATATCCATGTCCATTTCCGCTTCAGGCTCGGCCACTGTTCTACGATCATCTTCTTCCTCTTCTGGAGAATCATGTGGAGGATCATGTGGATGTGTTTGCCGTTGCCGCCTCCATAGCATTGTTGATGTCCACATTCGGGATCTCTGTTGGCAAGCTTCTTGGGGCCATCCGCTGAAACTTGCCACTCGACTTTAGGTGCTGAAGGAATTGGTGCCACGAGCAAGACAGGCAGGTATCATGGCCAAGCAACATGGGCTAACATGGGCATAGTCGAGCGCGGGTCACCGCATTCCTTTCAGTCAGGCTTTCTTCCTGTGGTGGCATGTTCTTGATCGCGAACATGACGCCTTCCTTGATGCATTTCAACCTTTCTTCATTGTCTGGTTGATATTCGCTGACTCTTGCCAGCGTGTTGATGTGCATCGCCTTCTCAAGATCTCTCGCTCCACTCGGTAAGTCGCAAAGGATGTTCATCACTTGTTGTGGTGATCGTCGATCTTCGAACCTTTCTGCACTCGGGGACGGCTCGTAGGTCATGCAGACTTCGTCCACGATCTCGTAGTCCAAGATTTGCTCGACGGACTTGAAGCCGTAATACGATTCATCCGGGGCACAGAACCATATCTCCTTGACAAACTTGCACGGGATCGGCCTTTTCACCCATTGTCCCGGCACACGGCTCGCAAACAATCAGCCACCTATCCAGCCCCACCAAAAGCCCCAAAAGGCCGTACAAGGCAGAAGCCACAGCAGAGATCATTGCCGGCGGCTTTGGCCAAGACTTGCTTGCTCCGTTCCTGAGCACTCATGGCCCAAGCAATGAAGCACGAGGCCCATGTCATCAAGATACCCTGCTTATACCACATCGTCTCCAACAAAGGGACCGCTTGTGGCAATATAGACAACAGCCTCTCCAGGGGCCGGGACCCTGTGGGCCATTTCTCGGAAGCGATGTGGCTGGAGGATGATACCAACGCAGCTGCCATGGTGGCGGTTATGATGCCCAATCAATGCCTGGACACGATAACCGCCACAATGTGGCTGGAGAAGGAAACCAATAGAGCAAAAGGCGCATATCATCAAGATAGCGGTGGCTACTCGCTGATGTCTTGGCCAAGGCCACCAATGCTGCCACAACGCAACGGCGGGCAGTATTCCAAGTCTTGGCATACTGCCCACAGTCACGATGTGGCAAAATCAGCAAAGTCGGTGTCGGCAGCCCCGCTGCTCCAGGGCAACGTAGCTTCCACACCGCAACGGCGGCAGTATTCCTGGTGTTCTACATGATTGCTTGTGAAAAGACCAAATCGATCCCTTGCTTCAAAGTCAACGGCGTAGGAATTGCTCCATCTCTCAGCAAATGTCGAAACTGAGCTGCCGTACTGCCTACAAACACACCACAGGCTTCAGTTTCAGTTCCGAATAGTAAAAAGCCATTTGATTGCAAGTTTCATTGCATCTTTACTCAATTCGACACCTAAAAGCAAGAAATCGATAGAACATACCTCGAGAACGCAAGAAAACTACAAATGTATCGAAAAAATGCCAAGATGGTACCAAAACTCAATGGATGTGGAACTTGAGCCGGGAGGGACGGGAACGACACTGGGAGCAACATCTTTTCAATTTTCCCAAAATTGTCTGCAAAAAACAAGAAAAGTATAGAAATACTGGCCTAACAATTAAAAGCTCAGTTGACATGGAAAGAAGAACCGGGAGGGACGGGAACGACACGGGAGCAACACGGGAACGACGCGGGAACGACAGGGGCACGACATTGGGAGCAACATTTTTTGAATTAAGCGAAACTGTAAAAACTATCGAACAAATGCCAAGATAATACTACCCCTGCCGGGGCCGATGTCTTGGCCTTCTCCTTGTCCTTGCTGGCATTTGCACGCTCTGCATCCACCACCGGCGGCGTCTTGCCGCGAAGCCTCTGCCTCTGCAAAGAGCCGGCTTCTGTGTCACCTTCGGGCTTCGACTGCTTCCCACTCTGCATGTCGGAGCTCTGCGCCTTTCGTTTCGGCTTGCGCTCCTCTGCCGTCTTAACCGGTGCCTGGGGTTTCTCCTTCTTCTCCTTCTTCTCCTTTTTCTCGGTCGATCGCCCACGGCTCGGTTCGGCCTGGGGCTTCTTGGATCTCTGCTTTCCACCACCCATTGCGCGCTCGCTGCGACACAGTTCAGGTAGCAAGGATTTAAAAGCGCTCTCGAGGGCAGCTCGAATGTTTGCCGACAAATCTTGATTGGCTAGGGGGGGGTGGGGGTTGTCAAGGTAGGAGAGGAGCTTTGGGTCTGTTGGGTCTTGCATCTGCTCTTTTCTACTGACTCACCAAGTACGAAAACTGAGTTGCATACAGCTGCTACAGCTAGTTCCGATTACTTCCGTGAGTCGGTCTACATCGACCATTGATTCTCGTTGGGGAAGGAGTACAGGGTTCGGGGCTGGATCTGGATCGGCTTACCCTCTCGCTCGCTTAAAACTATATATTCTTATTATTATATACATACATACATGCATACATACATACATATACACACACACACATAAGTCTATAGTTTCTCAGTAGCTAACCAGAAAAGTAGACTTATGACTGTAACTGGATGATGTGACAAGACAAGTACTCTTGCATATTGTATGAGTATCGACTATCCATGCTCAGTGTGTCCTGATTATATATATATATATATGAGACAGAAGGCCGCTGCGGCTTAACGCGCCGCCCGGATTCTCGCGGTTTCCGCTTCGCTTTGGTTGCGAGGCTCCAGGCCTCCAATTCTTGGGCTGCGGCTTGCCGTTCCTGCCTGTTGCTGCTTGTTTTTGTCTTCTCGTTCTCGCAGGGTCCCGTGGTCCAGCGGTTTGGGCCTTCGTCCGAAAATATTCTCGCGTTTTTGGACTATACAATACATACATACATACATACATACATACATACATACATACACACATACATACATACATACATACATACATACATACACACATACATACATACATACATACATATGTGTGTGAGGCAACAACATACACACATACGTACCTACACACCTACGTATCTAGATATGTACAGATATAACATAGATATGAGTACACATGTGCCTTCATGCGATAGATGAGTATATGGTCCGGTGTGTATATATATATACTCATGCACCCATGCATACGTATACATACATACATACATACATACATATATACATACATACATACATACATACATACGTCACACACATGACATGCATAACGTACACACACACACTCTCTGTCCCTCTCCCTCTCTCTCTGTCTCTGTCGCCTCTCCTCTTGTCTGCCGCGGCCCGTCAATACTTCCGAACACAGGACTGTGACATGCAGCCGGAAACCACTAATGAATGTAGCTGACAGCAACAAGCGTGCGGGGGCACGGGGAGTCTTCGTGATGGTGTTCAGCACCAGACGAGGCATCCTCGCGAAGCTTTGGGGTCGTTAAAGAAGGCACATATAATGGGGTGGCCTGCAATAGGAAGATGCAAAGATTCGGGCACGTTGTTGTTGCAAGTGGTTCTCTTGGAATTATCATGATAGACCGAACAAGATGACGACTGACTTGGGCTTGCAGGTTTCGATGGGGTGGATTCGATTGGGACGGAGGATGTCTGGGCTCAGGGCTTTGGGGTGTATGTTGGATCCAAGGTCCATACCAGTACTTCGTGTATGCCGTCTGGGTTTAGGGGTTTGGGGGTTTAGGGTTTAGGGCTTAGGGTTCAGGGTTTAGGGGTTTCAGGTTTAGGGTTCAGGGTTTTGGGTTTAGGGGTTTAGGGGCTTATTTACTATTGAGCATCTCAGTGGGTCGTTCTCTAAACAAGGGTCCCTTTTGGGGTCTTTTTAACCCCAAATGTGTAGTTTTCTAAGTTAGGGTTGAGGGTTTAGAGTTTCGGGTGTTTTTTTTTAAAGGGTGCCGTACTATATTAGGGACGGAGCAACATTTCAATTTTCTTTTCCAAAACTGACTGCAAAAACAAAAAATAGAAGTGTTGCCCCAACAGCATAAAGACTCAATGGAAATGAAAATAGAACGGGGAGGGACGGGAGCAAGACCTAGCAACGCGAGAACGACATGGGAGCAAGATTGGGAGCAACATTTATCCAAATTTTCTACGAAAATGAACAAAATATCAAAAGCATACCAAATTAAATCGACACCAAAACTCGACGTTAACTTTGATTTAAAACAACCCAAAATAAACACTAATAGGACATGGGAGGGACGGGAGGGACACGGAACGACATTGGGAGCAACATCGGAGGGACAAGAGGCTGGGAGCGACAGGAGCGACACTGGAACGACATGGGAGCGACGCTGGAGCGACATGGGAACGACATCGGGAGCGACGGGCGTGACATGGGAGCGACATTGG